TAGAATGTGGTCAGCGGCCAGGAGAATCGATAGTGGGTGTCTTCCTCGAGGCTGGCCAGGTGCCCCCCAGCCTGCCCGGCTGCCACTGCTCTGGAAAAGGGCACACAGGGCAGATTCCCTCAAAGCACATGCTCCCCGCGGACAGACAGAGGGTAGGCAGTGCGCCAGCAGGGCCCTTTCTTGGAAAGGGGACTGGAACCTTTCCTTCCCAGAGTTCAAGGCTCAGGGACCAAGAAATCCAGGAGTCCGGTACTTTTCAGGACTTGACACCTTGAAAAAGAAACAAGGAAAAGAGAGATAGGTAGCACATCTCAAGAGACTGTGGGGGCGCCTGGGTGGCTCAGTCATTGGGCGTCTGCCTTCGGCTCAGGTCGTGATCCCAGGGTCCTGGGGATCATCGGGCTCCCTGCTCTGCGGGAAGCCTGCTTCTCCCTCTCCCACTCCCCCTGCTTGTGTTCCCTCTCTCGCTGTGTCTCTCTCTGTCAAATAAAAAAAAAAAGAAAATCTAAAAAAAAACAAACAAAAAAGAGACTGTGATGTGCCAGGCATTGTGCTGTGGGCCCCTTACCTGTGTTATCTTAAATAGTTGCCCACCTTTCCCTGCAGCTTGAAGGGGCTCTAGACAAAGGACATGAAGTGACCCTGGAGGCACTCCCAAAAGATGTCTTGGTATCAAAGGAGGCTATGGGTGGCATCCTGTATTTCCTCGGAGCCCTAACAGGTAAGTAGAGAATAAAGTCTTCATTTATATACCTTTTTGGTGATAGGAATGAATCACTGGATGAATTCCCAGATATATGAATGAATGAATGAATGAATGAATGCATGCATGCCAGGCAAATTATACCACAGTTAAAGTAGTTTATATCTACATTTAAAGAAATTGGTTATAGGATCACCTGGCTGGCTGTTGGTAGAGCATGCAACTCTTTATCTTGGGGTTGTGAGTTCGAGCCCCACACTGGGAACAGAGATTGCCTTAATAAAATAAAATAATTAAAATTTAAAAAATTGTTTACCTTCCCAAGGATTCATCGGGGCACCTGGGATAATCTGAGAAGGTGGCCTAGTCTTGCTAATAGAGGTTGGGAAATAACCCTAGTTTTACCAGCCACATATTTAAAATTTCTACATATGGCTAAACTCATCACTTCTTAAAAAAAGATTATCTTATTTATTTATTTGAGAGAGAAAGAGAGCAGAGTGAGAGAGAACAGGAGCGGGGGGAGGGCAGAGGGAGAGGGAGAAGCAGGCTCCCAGCTGAGCAGGGAGCCCGATGTGGGGCTTGATCCCAGGACCCTGGGATCATGACCTGAGCTGAAGGCAGACACTTAACTGACTGAGTCACCCAGGCATCCCTAAGCGCATCACTTTTATATAGAAATTTGTTAGCTTTAATTTCAGAGAGTAACATCTTCTCATCTTGCCCTGAACTCTCTTCTTCCCTCTCCATGAAACATTGCCCCACTTAGAAAAACTCTCTGGTCCTTCAGGAGTAAGCTGAGATGTCTGTCCCCTTAAAAAGCCTGCCCTCAAATGCCAAGTCCAAAGTAGACCCCTCAGCTATCGCTCCCTTAACACCCTGTACTGTCCCTGCACATGGCTTAGTCTTCTCTGCTGGCCTGCAAGTTTCCTGAGTGAAGGGGTATGATTTTTACCCAACACCCCCAGCAAAGGTGCACAGCATAGAGCAGCATTCAACCTTGGGTAAATGTATGGATTAATTAATGCTGAAATTCTGGAAGTGTACCTCTTTGGAGTCTGGAGTCCCCCTTTGCACCAACACCACACGTTCATTTCTCTGCTTTTTTTTTTTTTTCCCCCCTCCAGAGCTAAGTGAAGCCCAACAGAAGCTGCTGATAAAATCGGTGGAGAAAAAGATCCTACCCATGCAGCTAAAGCTGGTGAGAGAAAACAGCAGGTGCTGGGGAGAGCTCGGGAGGGAGTCAGCTGGAACCAGGGCAAAGATACAGACTTAGCCTAACGACAGACTGTCCTGGAGAGCCTCTGTTGTAGAGCAGGGGCTCTTGCCCGCGGCTCATTGGTCTCCATGTTCTCCCTTGTTTGCTATCTCGCAACTGGAAGTAAAAGAGCGAATTTCTGGGCAGTTATCTGGGTTTTTCAGCTTGAAAAGACAGAAAACCCGGGCTTTGCTTCTTCACAGCCAAGTGATGTGAGCAAATCTCTTCATGTCTCTGAGTCTGTCTCAATTCACTCCTCTGTGAAATAGGGCTTAAAAAAAAAAAAAAGGGCTGCCCACAGTACAGGGTGGTTAAAAGGCCCACACGGAGCTGTAATGGAAGGAGTTATAAGAGACAGGTAGCCCTCTTCGTGGTTTTTATGAGTTAGGAGAAAGGAGGGCAGGTTTCCAGTTCTTTCTTTTCACGTTATTTTGGTTCCTTGCAGGTGGAGAGCACAATGGAACAGAGTTTCCTACAGGATAAAGACGGTGTTTTCCCCCTGCAGCCTGACCTGCTCTCCTCCCTTGGGGAAGAGGAATTGACCCTCACAGAAGCCCTAGTGGGGCTGAGTGGCCTCGAAGTGCAGAGATCGGGCCCCCAGTACACGTGGGACCCAGACACCCTCCCCCGCCTCTGTGCCCTTTATGCTGGCCTCTCCCTCCTGCAGCTGCTGACCAAGGCCTCCTAACTGGCCTTTTCCACCTGCTTCCTGCCTCCTGATGCCTTCCCGACCTCACTGTGCTGTGTTCTTAACACCCAAGGGTATTTTAGAGCCCCCAGGCTGAAGATGATGGAGACCCTAGCTGATCACCCAAGATAAGCGATTTCCACTTGTCCAGCTCTACCTCTTCCCCTACCCCTTCAGCTCCGCAACCCATCTGCTGATGCTTAAATCCTTTAAAAGTGGAAAAGTGCAAATTTTTAAAACTATGAATTATTTCAGCAAAACCAAAAATAATTAATTTCCTATCCCAATTCCTCATGCGTATGCTTCCACAAATCAAGTTTTACTGGAATTAATGGAAAATATGATTCCACTTTGGATGAAATGTCTTTTGGTGTTTTTCTTAACTTCTGCCAGGAAAAAAAATAGACATTATCATACTACATACAGATCATGTGTACATGAGTTCTATTATACTGTCCACGGGTCAGCTGGAAAATGCCCAGAGAACTATGAGGGTGTAGAATGTAGAATCTAAATTCTAAAGTGAGAAGATCATCAAAGAAGCTTGTCTTCAAAGAGGAGGGTTTAGGATCCTCTGGACTCAGGTTAAGGGACTAGGACAGGCTTATTTGTGGTACAAACCCAAAACAAGAGTAAGACAACTTTCAAGTATATCAAAAAGAAAATGCAGGTAAGTCTTTTTAAAAAATAGTATCCAAGAATAAGACTGACCCATAACTTTTAAAAAGAAATTGTGATATTATCTTATTTCACCTTTCCCTCTTTTGACCTCAATTCGGGGTGGTTGTAGGAGGAAGTAATGTGGGCTTGCCATATGGACCTACAAATATGGATATTGCAATCTTATAAAACTAGTGGGTTTATACCATCCTCCTCTGCCTAAAGCTGGGTTTTAACATCTTTCGCCAATTTCTTTTAAAGTAGTTTTTTGGGTGGAATAATTTCTCCAAGGTTTTTGGCCCCAGGAATCAGACTCGCCCCTGGCTAGTTCCCTCACTAAACAGGAATTCATGATCAACTGCCAAAAGCTTTCTGTTAAGCCATCCTCCCCCGTTCTGGGGCATCTTCCAATGCCTCACTACCTTGCTCAAAGACATCCTGAGTAATTATCTGCTGATCTCGTTGTTTTTCTCTTGTGATGTACACTTAATAAAGAGGTGAGCTAACACCCTAACTATCCAGAAGGGTAACTTCGTAAGGATGAACAACAAAGCTCATCTGTTTTCTGTTTTCTTCCTTTACCCTTCTCGCCCACTTTCAGTTAGATAGGGTGTTATGCAGAAGAGGCTTTAATGAGTTTATTCCAGCGATGATTCAAAAGTCCTGTTATCTGTCCCGTAGCCCAAGGGGGCAGAGAGACAGGGAGGAATTGGTCAAGGCACGTTCCCTAAAACCGGACAAAATGTTTTTCCTTCAGCAAGCAGTTGTTCAGTGCAAGGAGCTATTTGCTGCAGTAGTATGACAAGGAGGAGACAAAAAATATCCTCTCTATATATGAATATAAAGAATATGGTCGAAACATATTCTCTGCCCTCTATGACCTTACAGCAGAGCTAGACTGTCTTGTAGGGTCTGACCTGGTTTAAAATTTAGGACTTCCAACTACAGAAGAGAGGAAAGTTCAAAGAAGGGGGTGGGTAGTTTTGTTTTGTGTCTTAAGAAGTTGGAACCTGTATCTTCCTCCTGCAGAATCACTGGAGGATTCCTTTGAAAAATAAATGGACAGGATTTCTGGTTCAATTTCCTTCCCCTGGGGATTCTTAGATTCTCTTTAGGTACACTACTATTCCGCTCCCCATTTCACTACGGTGTCTGGATGCAAACAGACGCCCCGACCGACTCCCTGAAGCCTCTGCCAATAGGGGCTTCCACCTGCTTTCCTCCCGCCTGACCTTACGCGGCAGAGCAGAGCCTCCAGCAGACTACATTCTGGAGCTGTGTTTAAGAACTCCGCGCCCCGAACGTGCGAGCTCTGGGCCATACAGAGAGTGGATCCGTGTATTTTATACTGCAGTGCTGGTACACAAACGCACTCTCCCCCGTCCACACTCCCAGGCTGCAGGATTTTATGCCTTATTTTCACTCTTGCTAAAATCTGACAAGAAGTCTGAATCCCAATGATTTCTCCTACTCCCCAGTTCGGTGCTCACATCCCTCTTTCGCGGCTTCTTCCCTCGCTCCGGATGCACTGGGCGGCGGTTGAGTACGAGCCTCGAGAATCTGGACCGAGACCCCCAAACAGGAGGCGGAGGACGGGGGGCGCAGACTGAGCGAGGTGGGGCCTCATGACGTCATCACGCCCTGCGCTGCGACAGGCCTTACTCCACGCTGGTTGGGGTGCTCTTAAGACTCCGATGTAACCCACATTGGAGCCTGAGGGGACATCTCGTGGACGCGCACGGAAAAGCAGTCCAGAGGAACACAGAAGAAAATAACACTGAAGCACTCCAAATGCCGGGCCGACGCATACAAGCTCCTCCCAGCTCCTTCCTTGAAGATCCGCCTCCATCCTGCACCTCGGCTGTTGATTTCTTTTCCTTTTGTGGACTCGGCCTTCGGCCCGCCGGGCCTGGCGTTTCCCAGAAGGCCCAGCGTCGGGAAGGGGTTTGCAGCTGCTCCGTCATCGTGCGGCCCGTCGCGAGCCCGCGCTCGTGTGCAGGCCCGGCTCGGTTCCTGGTCTCTGGTGCGAGGATTCACGCGAGGCCCTGGTCTCGGTCCCTGGAGTAGGCCGCGACCCCGGGCGCCATGAAACAGGAGGGCTCGGCGCGGCGCCGCGGCGCGGACAAGGCGAAGCCGCCGCCGGGCGGAGGGGAACAAGAACCACCGCCGCCCCCGACCCCCCAGGATGTGGAGATGAAAGAGGAGGCGACGGCGGGTGGCGGGTCATCGGCGGAGCCTGACAGCAAAGCGGCGGCGGCGGCGGCGGCTGAGCACTCCCAGCGAGAGCTGGACACCGTCACCTTGGAGGGTACGAGAGCCCGGGCCGGGGACGTGCCGTGGTCACGGATGACAGCGCCCCGGTGATCCAGCCTATCCTCGGGACCCCAGCGCAGATTCCACCACTCCCGATTCCTTAGGATCACCCCCAGTGCCCGCCCCCTACCACCCTGACACTCCTGACTCCAGCCCCAATAATGAACCTTCTCTCCAGGCTCTGGATTTCTCCCTGAACATACCTCCTCCCTCCTTACCTGGGTTGCATCTAGAAGTGGGTCTCACTGGGCCTGTGGACTCCCTCCCTCTTCTAAGTCCTCTCCGACCTACTCTATTTACATCCACCGAGCTGATTCTAACGCCCCCAGTATGTGATTGGTCCCTCTAGAAACCGGTGTTTGTATTTATGTGTGTAAAGGGGGTCAGGGTGACGCAGAATACTGGCCCCTGAATTTTAAGACTGTACAAAAGTTTTCTGTTGCCTTAGCTACCTCTGGGAAACTCCCCTAAGAGAAGGCTTTCGACTGGGTATCTTGCTTCCTTGTTTCTGTAATTAAGGTGCCTTTACAATCCCGTTGCTCATTCTCTCCCTTCAGGCCTTTACTTCTGTTCCTAAAGAGTTGAAATACATTACAGACTTTCAAGTTTTTAGGTGTCATCTTTGAGTTCCTAATACTCACCTTCCACCTAAACTATGTATCAATCCCCCCATTGCTTTTCTCCTAGGTACTTGTTCCCAGTTTCTTACTACCGTCTTGGTCCTCCAAGTTCACATTTCACTTTTCTCAGAGCATCCTGTCCACATTTGGAGTGGGCAGAGTGAGAGCTTCCCACTGTGAACCTGGTGCTGTTTTCCCAGCTCTGGATCAAGTGGAACCAGACTATTTATTGGGTTTTCTCTCTAACTGCATGAGAACCTTGCTCAAAAACATTGAGATAAGCAAAGTTAGGCTCCTGGGTGATGTTTTTGAGGATGTAATGTTGACTGCATCAGCCCCTACTCTAAAGTTGGGCAACAGGCTCAGTATCTAATCAAGACCCTTTTACCTAAAATAAGGATAGCAGTGGCAGAGGTGCGACTGGGTACATACATATGTTTCTTATAAAGCACTTCATTTTGTTAATATGAAGTAGTCCACGTTTCACTGTAGAAATTTTGGAAAATATGAGAAGTCTAAAGTAGCAGGATATAACATCGACCATGGTTAACATTTTTTCCTATGAATTTTTGAGTTGCTCTCCTGTAATTGAGATCAAGTTATATAGACAGTTTGGAACAAGGCATAATTAAATACAGATGACTTTGTGTGCTTTCATCTAACATATCCATAAACGTAGTGTTCAATTTATTCCAGAAACGTTTATTGAATACCCAATACAGTGGCTAAGCATACAAGCTCTGGAATTCGTTTCCTCATCTCTATAAATGAGAGTAACAGTACCTACTTCACTGGGTCAGTGTAAAGATTAAAATGCTTAGAACGGGGCGCCTGGGTGGCTCAGTCGTTAAGCGTCTGCCTTCGGCTCAGGTCATGATCCCAGGGTCCTGGGATCGAGCCCCGCATC